GCTATCAGGCTTTCATCTATTCCGTACCGGGCTTTTGGGGGGTTTGGTACGTACGGCAGCTTCAAGAAATTGCTTGATTGCTGCAGTCACTTTCATCATGACTCTCTCTCTCTCTCTCTCTCTCTCTCTCTGTTTGTTTATTGATCGATCAGTGTACCTTGCGCGGTCTTTGCTTTCATCGAATCTTTTTACGTCCATTTTTCTCAGTTTTCTGGACGTTTCTTTTGTTCCATGTGCTATTTTCGGAGCCGGAGGAAAACGTATTTCTCCTGTCTTTTTGAGGAGTGATTCGAATTGATTAATACGGTTTATTTTCAAGAAATAGATTAGATTAGATTTGATGTTCCGTGCACAAGATAGAGGCTAATGTCTTACGTTTTCAATCGATGTGATCACGAAATTGATGAACTGGTGTTGCTCGTATTGTTAAATTTTATGAGTAATGAAGAATCTATAAACTATAAAACTATAAACAATAAAATGAATAACAAATATTTGTTGTAAGTCACCGTACTGGTTGAACGATATATCATTCGGCTAATGCTATTTTTAACATTTTTATTGCATTTTTTTTTGTCTAAAAACGGAAAGGAAGCTCTGTCATGAGAAGACCTCTTGTGTATTTATTGCGGAAATTTAGGCATAAACCTATCAATCGAAGTCGATACCAACCAAACGAAGTCATTTAACCTTCTCTCCAGCGTTGCCAAATGTCGCCGTCAGCTCCCCGTCAACGTCATCGTTCTCGTCAACATCACAATATTGCTCTTCACGGTATTCTGGCGGCCACTTGTATCACCTCAAACGGCCTTCTCGTCGTTCGTAATTCGAACAATTAAATGGAATTACAGTTAACGGTAATTAGACGTGGCGTACCTGCAACCACCAACGTCGGCGCTTCTGTTCGTTCTTTTGTTCGTCCGAGTCGGCATCTATGGGTGTACATCTTTAGAAAAAAACATGTCTGGTTGTACATCTTAAAAGAAAAATAATATAACTCTATTAACCAAGATATAATTCAATAATCAAATGATCACAGATAAATGAAGCACAAGATAGCAATTTGATTTCGAAATTTAAATGATAGCAACAAAATATAAAGCGCCATAAGCCTTGGTAACGAGGATAATAATTTGAAAACAATTATATCGAAAGTAATTCCACTAACAATTATAAATGGCAGTGATTTTGATATGATATTATGAAAAGGATAGTCATTATTACAATGTAATGAGGATAACACTGATAGTATTAATCACATTTATAATGAAGTAGGCGATTATAATGATAAATATTGATGATGATAATGAAACTTAATTTTTGATGGTAATAAAGACGCAACGATAATTATAAAAGAAGATAATGACAGGGAGAATGATAACTAATAACAGTAGTGATATTAATTACTGTAGAGATATGGTTATTGAAATATTTTGGCAATAACAGTAGTAACAATAATAATGATAACAATAACAATGGTAATATCAAAATAACAATAATATTTACATATAGCCGTTATTTTCGATAATGGTATTAATAGTATCAATGAAAATAATGATAATAGGGATAATTACGATGATTGGCAATAATATAATTAGTGATAGTATTATAACAATATTAATGATGATAATAATAATGATGACGATAATGATAACAACAATAAATATGATGATAATGACAATGATAATGATAAAATGATGACAACAAAACCAATAGTAAAAATATCAATGATAAAGATGGTGGTGATAATAATAACAATAATGATTAATGCAAATACAAATACAATGGAATACATGATAATGATAATGATGAAATGATGATAATAATGATTATGATTATAATACTAATAATGATAATGATTATAGTAATAAAATATAATAATGATATTAATGACAATAATGATGAAAATAATAACGATGATATTAATGATGATAATAACCATAATAATATATTTTTTTTTATCAATAATAATGATTATAATCATAACGATGGAAATGATGATGATGATGATAATGATAATGATAATGATAATAATAATAATAATGATAATAATGATACTACTACTAATAATGATAATGGTGATAATAATGACAAAAATGATAATAACAATAATATGAATAATAAATGATAATAGTAATGATAATACTATCTATAATGATAATGATAATGATGATACTGATGATGATGATGATGATAATAATGATAATAATAATAATGATAATAATAATAATATTAATATAATAATGATAATAATAATAATAATAATATTAATAACAATAATAATTATAATTATAATAATATAATACTAAAAGTAATAATGATAAGAATAATGATAACTACGATAATGATGATAATGATCATGATAATAATGATGATGGTGATAATGATGATAATGATAATAAAATGATAATGATAATGATCATGATAATAAAAGTGATAATACTAATGAGGATAGTAATAATAGTAATAATAATGTTAATGGTGTTGATGATGATAATAATGATAATAAACATGTTGATGATACTGATATTAATAACTGTAACTATGATAATGATAGTAATAATTCTGATAATGATAATGATAATAATAATAGTGATAATAATAATAATGATAAAGAAAATTGTAATAATAATAATGATAATGATAAAGATAATGATAATTATGATAACAATAACAAAAAAAACAACACAATACTACTACTACTACTACTACTACTACTACTACTACTACTATTAATACTACTACTACTATACTATAATAATAATGATAATAATAATAGTAATCATAATAATAATGATGATAATAATAACAATAATGATGATGATAATAATAATTGTGATAGTAATAATAATGATGATAATGATGAGTAGTAGTAGTAGTAGTAGCGGTAGTAGTAGTAGTAATAATGATAATGATGATAATAATGATAACAATAATAATAATAGTAATGATAATAATTATAATAGTAATGATAATGATTACAATAGTAATAGCAATACTACCTCTAATAATAATGATAATAATAAGGATAATAATAAATATAGTAATGATTATGATAATAACGATTATAATGATAATAATAGTAGTAGTACTAGTGGTACTAATAATGATAATGATAAAGATAATATTAATGATAATAATAATGATAATAATGATATTAATGAAATATGATACTAATAATAGTAATGATAATGATAACAATATTTATAATGGTAATGATGATGAAATAATAATAATGATAATAATATAATAATGACAATAACAATTATAATAATAATAATAATAATAATAATAATAATAATAATAATGACAATAATAATAACAATATTTATGATAGTAACAACAATATCGATAATGATGAATAAATTTGATAATAGTAATAATAGTAGTAATAATGATAATAGTTATAATGATAATAATAATAATGATTGATGATGGTAATGATGGACACAGATAAACGTAGATACATACATAGATATATGCATACATACATGCACACATCATAAATAAATGCATACATACATGCACACATCATATATATGTTCATACATACCTACATACATATATGCATACATACATATATACATCACTGACATAATTATTGCGGTTTCAACCATTTTTGGTAGATTATGTATTCCAAAATGAAAGCAAGTTATTATCTCCTAATTTTTATTCGCATATATTATAAAATACATTATATTCGTAGTCATAATAACCAGCCTTTGCCTTAGTGACTGCAGTATCACATCCTAGCATACTTTGAATATACTGTCAAGCCTTTTCCTTGATTTCTGTTTTTTAAATTATACTTTTATCAGTCGTTCAAATTCATTCAACTTGGCTGGTCTCGTCTTCCCATTAACATTCTATAGGATTTAGATCTGGACTGTTTCCAGGCCAATCAAGCACTCTAATGCCATGATTATTCAAATGAGTTTTAACACTTTCCGTTGTGTGGCAGGGAGCTCCATCCGGGAACCACCCACGAAGTTTGGGCAGAAGACGTCTATCAGTGATGTCGCAATATCCAACTTCACTTAGATTACCTTGTACATTCTCTAATCTTCCAGTACCCTTGGCAGAGATAGGAAACTTTACTTGTTGCTCTCGGGAAGTCGCGGAGCTCCTTCTCAAAGCTGGTTCTCCAGACAGACAGAGAAACAAACGCAAATAAAGACAACAATAAAAGTTACAAAGTGTATAACGAAGAAAAGAAAATAGATAACAAGATGAAAAAAAAGTGAAGTATAATAAAAATAACAATAACAAACCTGCCAGAAAACCGATACCCAACAAAACAAGCAATAAAGAGAAAGAGAGAGAGAGAGAGAGAGAGAGAGAGAGAGAGAGAGAGAGAGAGAGAGAGAGAGAGAGAGAGAGAGAGAGAGAGAGAGAGAGAGAGAGAGATTGGAACATTCAAATAAAACCCTTTTCGCGCTGTTGAACAAAATGAACATATTGGATGTCATAATGTATAACTATCCTATATCTTCTCATGTATACAGATCTATTTCACTTATTGCACCACAGAACCACAGTCAAAGGGAAGATTTAAGTGAGATTTACCCTTTCCCAATCCTCTGATGTCCAATCCTTGCGAGCCTTTGTCCGGATCAGTCGTTTCTTCCCCATGGTTACGACTAGTCATGGCACCTTAGTTGTCCTGCATGCACGGTAGCCCACCTTATTTCCCTTTCTTATTGTTCTTGCTGGTCAATGAATAGCTTTTCCATTTGCTTGCATGACTCCGAGTGATCTTGATGAATCATATTTCCAAGCATTCTGTCTGGGAGAGGAGACACACTTGCTCCAACACTCTCCTCTTCGGTGGGGTTCATGATTTTCTAAAAAAAACAGCATTTTCTTTCCACCTTTACAAAGGAAGTTTTGGCAACACCCACTTTCTTCGTTACTACCCATTGGCTTAATGACTCTTCTTGGAGATGAAAACTTCAATGGCAGAAGAATTCGCTCGTTTCAGATCCTTTCCTCGGTCCACGATGATCCGGTAGTCAATCTTGATTCGATTTGAGAGGTAGAAAGGCTTTGGTTTAGTCATTGGTGGCAGCGGATGGATCGCGCGTATTATAATAGATAGAACGGGAAGCCGGATGTTGGGAACAGTGTTAAGGGTCACATGTCCGTTGTGAGGAATGAATGAACGTTATCAATAATAATAATAAGATGATAATAATAATAATAATAATATAGTAATATAGTAATAATAGTGATAATGATAATAGAAATATAATGATAATAATAATATATAATAAAATATAATATAATAAATAATATAATAATAATGATAATAATATAATAATAATAATAATAATAATAATAATAATAATAATAATAATAATAATAATAATAATAATAATAATAATAATAATAATAATAATGATAATGATAACAATGATAATGATATAATAATAATAATGATAATAAATAATGATAATAATAATGTTAATAATAAAAATAATGATGATAATAACAATGATAGCGATAATGATAATAATAACAATGATAATGATAATAATAATGAAATGAATAAATGATATAATGATAATGATAATGATAATGATAATGATAATAACAATGATATAATAATGATAATGATAATATAATGATAATGATATATACAATGATATGATAATAATGATAATAATAATAATGATAATGATAATGATAATGATAATGATAATAATAATGATAATAATAACAATGATAATGATAATAATAATGATAATGATAATATTAACAATGATAATGATAATGATAACTCCAGAACAAATGTGAGGAACGATAGAACGTCAGCAGAATTGGACTGTTATCACGTTTTTTTTATTCATTTTTTAGCTAATTTAATAAAATCTAATGCAGACTAATTTATCAAAGACAATAGAGAGAGGTGATCTTGTTCCTTGTATATGCTGTTCAGAACCCAAAGAGAGATGAAAAATACGATATCCGTGACTGGTCTCAATAATTACATACATACACACATGCATGTCTTCATACATACATGCATACTTACATGTCTTCATACATACATACATACATGTCTTCATACATACATGCATACATGTCTTCATACATAACATACATATATGTCTTCCATACATACATATCATTCTTCATACATACATACACATACATGTCTTCATACATACATACATATATTGTCTTCATACATACATACATACATGTCTTCATACATACAACACACACACACACACACACACACACACACAACACACACACAGATATATATATAATATATATATATATATTATATATATATATATATATATACATGCATACATACCTACATTTATATATATCTTCATACATACATCTCATACATATACATGTCTTCATACATACATACACACACACACACACACTACATACACAACATTACACAATATATATCACATATACATACATACATACATGTTTTCATATATACATATATATATATACATACACACACCTACATACATGTATACGTGTATATGTATGTACGCTCATCTATATTGGAACAGACTTTGACAAGAAAAAAAAAAAAAAATGTTGATGAAAATATCTATGATCTTGGAAAAAGGCGAGAAGATGCAGAAGAAGAAGGAGAAAGAGAAGAGAAGGAAGAAGGAGAAGGAGAAGGAGAAGGAGAAGGAGAAGGAGAAGGAGAAGGGAGAAGGAGAAGGAGAAGGAAAGGAGAAGGAGAAGAAAAAGAAGAAAGAAGAAGAAAAAAGAAAGAAAAGAAGAAAGAAGAAGAAGAAGAAGAAAAGAAGAAGAAGAAAGAAGTAGAAAAAATAAAAACAAAAATAAAAATAAAAAAAAAAAAAAAAAAAAAAAAAAAAAAAGAAAAAAGAAAAAGAAAAAATAAGAAAAAAAGAAAAAAAGAAAAAGAGGGAGAAAAAAAAGATGAAAATAAAAATAAAGAGAAGAAGAAAAGAGAGACCGATAACCGCAGAGGAGAAACAGCGCGTAACTCTCGGCAGATCGACAGCGCAGAGGACATCGCCGGCCAGATTGCGCTCCTTCGATAGATAATGGCGACAGCTTGTCTATCTATCGTCGTCGTCCTCCTACTCTTTTCTTCCCTCGCCTTTTTTTGTTGTTCTTGTCCCTCCTCCCACTTTTTTGTTGTTCTTGTCCCTCCCTCCCACTTTTTTGTTGTTCGCCTTGTCCCTCCTTCCCTCCTTCCATCCCTCCCCCCCCTTTTTTTTAGTTCGTGTTGTCCCTCCCTTCCTTCCCTATCCCCCCTTTTTTTAGGTTCGTCTTGTAATTCCCTCCCTCCCTTCCCTACCCCTTTTTTTAGTTGTTCGTCTTGTCCCTCTCTCCCTCCCTTCCCTCTCCCTCCATTCGTCTATCTGATCTCTTCCCCCATTCATTTCGGTCGTCCTCTATCTGATCCTCCTTCCCCAATTCTCTCTTTCGGTCGTCCCTCTTCCCTCTGTGTTCTTTCTCTCCCTTTCAATGTGCTCTTTGTTGACGTCGACTCGTCTCCCTTTCAGCAATCTCCTTTTCTCCCTTTTAATCGTTCGCTTTTCAAACCCTATTCCTTGTTTATTCGTCTCCTTTTTCCAACTATTATCGTCCTCTCCGCTCTTTTCCAATCGTCTCCTTTCCCTCTTCTTCGAACTTCAATCTTTCTCCCAATCGTAATCTTTTTCTCCAATCGTAATTTTTTCTAATCGAACGTTGTTCTCCCTTCCAATCGTAACCCTTTTCTCTCTTCTAATCGTAACCTTTTTCTCCCTTCCAATCGTAACCTTTTTCTCCCTTCCAATCGTAATTTTTTTCTCCCTTCGCCCCTTTCCAATTGTAACGTTGTTCTCCCTTCCAATCGTAACGTAATCCAATTAATATTTTTCTCCTTTCCAATCGTAATCTTTTTATCCCTTCCAATCGTAATCTTTTTCTCCCTTCCAATCGTAATTTTTTTCTCCCCTCCAATCGTATTTTTTTCTCCCTTCCAATCGTAAATCTTCTCCTTCCAATCGTAATCTTTTTCTCCCTTCGTCTCCTTCCAATCGTAACCTTTTTCTCCCTTCCAATCGTAATCTTTTTCTCCCTTCCAATCGTAACCTTTTCTCCTTCCAATCGTAATCTTTTTCTCCCTTCAATCGTAATCTTTTTCTCCCTTCCAATCGTAATCTTTTTCTCCCTTCGCCCCTTTCCAATCGTAACCTTTTTTCACCCTTCAATCGTATCTTTTTCTCCCTTCCAATCGTAATCCTTTTCTCCTTCCAATCGAATCCTTTTCTCCTTCAATCGTAACCTTTTTCTCCCTTCCAATCGCAATTCCAATCGTATTTTTTTCTCCCTTCCAATCGTAACCTTTTTCACCCTTCCAATCGTATTTTTTTTCTCCCTTCCAATCGTAATCTTTTCCTCCCTTCGTCCCTTTCCAATCGTAACTTTTTTCTCCCTTCCAATCGCAATCTTTTTCTCCCTTCCAATCGTAACCTTTTTCTCCCTTTTTTCTCTTTCAATCGAACTTTTTTCACCCTTCTTCTCCTTCCAATCGTACCCTACTAAACATCCCCTTTTCTCACTTCAAAGAGTCCTCCTTCCGCCTTAAAAACACATCCTTTCATCCTCCCTCGGCCTTCTTCCAAGCCTCCTTCACACTCTCCTCTATCCTCTAACCCTTAGATAGATAGATAGAGAGAGAGAGAGAGTGTGTTAGAGAGAGAAATTAATACAAATGTACGTATGTTTACATGTACAGTATATGTGTCTAAACACGTATTCGGCTACGTGTTTGTTTTGTTGCCTCTCTCTCTCTCTCACACTCTCCTCTATCCTCCCCCACCTTAACAACCCCCCCACCGCCGGAAATGCCCTGAAATACACACCGATGCCCCCCCTACCCCCCTCCTCCCGAAGTGCCCTGAAGCGAAGCCCTGAATACCCCCCTCCCCCCCTTCCCTATCCCTCCCCCACGAAATGCCCTGAAGCAAAGCCCCTTATACCCCCTCCCCCCTCCTTCCCTATCCCCCCCGGAAGTGCCCTGAAGCGAAGGCCCTGAAACACGCAGATTGCCCCCGCTTCCCTATCCCCACCCCACCTCCGGAAGTACCCTGAACCGAAGCCCCCGAAATACTCCCCCTCCCCCTCCTTCCCTATCCCCACCCCACCCTCCGGAAGTACCCTGAACCGAAGCCCTGAAATACTTCCCTCCCCCCCTCCTTCCCTATCCCCTCCACCCCACCCTCCGGAAGTACCCTGAACTGAAGCCCCTGAAAATACCCCCTCCCCCTCCTTCCCTATCCCCTCCCCCTCCTGGAAGTACCCTGACCGAAGCCCCCGAAATACTCCCCTCCCCCCCTCCTTCCCTATCCTACCCCCTGGAAGTACCCTGAACCGAACCCGTCCCCCTCCTGGAGTACCCTGAACCGAAGCCCTGAAATACCCCCTCCTCCTCCTTCCCTATCCCCTACCCCCCTGGAAGTACCCTGAAGCGAAGGCCCTGAAATACCCCCCCCCCTCCTCCTTCCCTATCCCCTCCCCCTCCTGTAAGTACCCTGAAGCGAAGCCCCTGAAACACGCCGACGCCCGAGAATAGACCCGGCTTCCGTCTGACGTGCGAAGAAGGGAGCTTAAGCGAGGCCGTCGACGGGGGCGTGTCAAGTGAGGGTCGGGATGCGTCGGGATGTGAAGGGAAGGAGGTGCTGTCTTGGCTTTGGCTTTGGCTTTGACCTCCTCTTCGGTGGTGGCTTCGTCTTCGTACGGACGGGGAGATGCGCTCAAGGCATTTGTGGGTGTTCGTACGTACACGAGGGCTCTTTCACTCAAACACAGGTGCGTTGATGCACGTACAGACACACACACAGGCACAGACACACACAGACACACACACATACACAAACACACAACAATACACACGCACACACACACACACACGCACACACACAACACACACAGCACATACACATACACACAACACACACAGATACACACACACAACACACACACACACACACACAACACACAAAC